GAGTCACTGACAGCCGAGCACTCAGTCAGTAGCTCAGTCCGCATGTTTATTCTTCCGGGATGGTACCCAATACTTATTTTGAATTACTGAGTGTACATTTTCTATGGAAAAATGCCTCAATCACATACTGTGTGAGCGAAGGCAAGCGGTGTGAGTCGCCTGTTCGTGAGCGACTGAATATTTTTGTTGACTCTTTCATTGCCTCGTCCTTTACCGTTTGGTACAAACGGTCTGCACAGAGCAATGGATTGAATAGTGCAGTGCTTTCACACTCAGCCTAAGCAGTCAATAATTTTACGCATTGGCCACAAGACTCGCAGAAAAAGAGAAGTAAATTTGACGTTGAACAGAGAAACAACCCATCAAGTATGAACGAAGATTTGTTATATATAAATACTTCGATTAGTGTTACCTAGTTTTACTCGTAAACTAAAATAGTAGATTGAAACAATGCTAAACCTATTTCTTGTTATCTATATATTCATGGCAACTATCACAAAAAATTTCCACCTTGTAGGGGAAATGGTTCTAATGGTGGCCTATGGATCTAAGATTGGGCCCATCGCTAAAAATCGGCTCTTTATCAATTTTATCTAGATGGTATTTTGGTCGCTATTGAAAATTTAGTCGATTGTTGAATTTATGTATGGGCCCAAATTAGGGGCATTTAGACCAACATTTCATCCATTTCCTATATGTCCTTAAACATACACTATAAAAAGTCAATCGTGCTCTACTATAAATGTCTCTGACAACTTTAAACTATTCCTGTGTGGTGTCGATCACATATTTATTTGTGACCTTGATTTCCTGGGATAAAAATTAAATAGTTGACTAAACACATCACGCCAGGCTGAACGAAACATTGCAGTTCTCAAAATCTTCTACTAGATTTTGCATATACTGTACATACGTGTGGCAACATGAATTTGACAATATTTGTACTACAAACACCAGATGATTCTATTCAAGCATTATCAGGGCCGAACTGTGTATTATTGAAGTTGAAAGATGAGTGAAAAGCGACAGAACGTGTAACTTAGCCTGCCAAAATATGATCCTGCTAATCGTACCCGCTATCACACAAACATTTCACAATGCTAGATAGAGCAGAGGCATCAATTAGATAAACTTATAGAATTATCCTTAAAAGCGATTGGATTCTGGAACTATTTAAACTAGACGAACAAAAAGACAGAAGTAGATAATTAGATGAAAATAAAAGAATTGAAAGTTAAAAAGAGAAATATTTTGTTTTATAAAGCAGGAAAACAGTAAAACATAGAGCAGGGTGAAAGTTTTAAATGTAAAAACAAAACTAGTATCAAAATAAAAACAGACATTTTTAAAGAGCCAAACTATAATGTCTGTGCATTTAAGGGGTTCGTTTTGCATATCATGAGAAATTAAACACACAGTATCTGATGTGAACATTTCTAATCCGAAACAGAGGCGTTCAATTAGGAACCAAGATGTGTGAAGTGTATGAAATGAGAAATAAAAGGACCATTTAATCTATATATATGATACAAATAAGGTTGCATGTTACGGCGAAAGGTTTTAACAATCAAGCTGGAACCATTCGTCCACTTTGTATTATTTGAAAGAGGATGTTGGCTGCAAATATGGGTGAATTCAAGACTACACAAGAGAAAATAACACTGATGAGAAATATTCCATTTTCCAAACAATTACTAGGATGCATTTGTAAATTATTAATGGTGTTGCGCTTTGATAGGGTTTTTTTTTTTTCGTATAATTCCGTATTCCAATATTAATGCATAGCATAGTCAATGGCATTACACTAACACAACGTGAACCAAAACCACTGTGTGGATCAGAGCTGGCTTTAGAGTTTGAGTGGTTTGGAGGATATCACTGGATAATCGTCTCTGGTGGAGTGAGCTTGGCAAGAATTGGTTTAAGCCTTACGTTGTTTTTTTTTTTTCTAAGGTAATATTTGGTTTTATGTGGTTTTTACATACAAAATACGTTTTGTGAGGAAGAAATCATACCTTTCATGAACAGGAAAAGTGCGCAGATGGCTGTCGTAACCGGAATCAATGACGCATAAATGTAAGATTGCTACATCTTACATATGCGTCATTGATTACGATTAAGGAAAGTTGTTTGTTAGAAATGCCAAGATTATTGGGGATAGTAGATCTCAATACCTGAGTTTTAAACATTTTAGATCGTAAAAAATAAAATTAAAATTAAATAAATTTGAGGATCTTTTGAAAATTTGGGAAGGAAAAATACAAAATACTTATAAAATTTGTTAGAAATGTTTAATGGGAATTTTAGGAAATGCTATAAATATGAAGTATTTACTTCTATTTTGTCTGTCTACCAATATTTACGATAAGGTACACCGGGGCAATTGCATTGGCATATCTAATGGAAGTGCCTGGGCTGGCAGGTCTCGTCTCAAATGATCTAGGCTCCCTCTAGATCTGTTTGAAGTTTAATGAAATTTAAATTGTCGGTATTAGAATCACCATACAACATATGGAGAGGGCCTGAATCATTCTGCAGGGGTCCAGGCACCCAAGGCACACCCGAACGGTGAATAGAACTAATTTTATCATAAATTTCTAGATTCAAACACGCCTGAAGGTTAAAAGTTTAGTGCTAACACTTACATTGGATACAATAAAATGATGTTTGTTTTTATCCCCATCGCCAGAACTCAAGTTTAACTCAACATGTAAATTTTTACTAGCGAATCAACTTATTTGAGAAAGAGTTTGTTTAGCTGGTGATCAAGTATTTAGAAGAAACACGAAAAAAGCTACAAAATTTAGCAGTTTTTTTTTAGTTGAACCCATTAAAACAAAGTTATAGAAATCAAAGTTATCACTTCTTTAGAACTTATTGCGTACATTTGTAGTCTGTTCTGTTCAAAAACTTCCCATCTTTGCTTGGTTTCCTATCCATATGGGGCTGATATGCTATTATGGGTAGTATACTTATGATGATCATGTGATACCACCAAACAAACTATTTCCCAAATAATTGCAAATAAAGCAGCGTTTAACTAGTTTAATGTTACATATAACTAAAGACTGCATTCAAATGATGGGGATATCAACAATATTTATGACATTCAAAGTGTTACTTCATACGCGAAGTTTGCGATTTTCAGAGTTGTTTGGAAATGCTATCTAACATGAAGCTTTAGTGTGATAATTTATTAGCTAGAGAATGGTCTTTAGGAGAGTTCCGTTAGAGTACGGCAGTATGCAAATTGAATAGAAGTTGAAAATGAGCGAAGGGCCATTAATGCGACAGTACAAAGTCAAACGCACACCCTTTGCCTAACCCGTACGATGTATGCGGAGATTTGAAGTATGTCTTCAAATCTACAGAATACAGAGTGATTTCAGTTTGTTCAATACTTCAGTTTGACCAGGCATCGCAAAACAGGCATCATTCAACTGCCCAACAAATTATTCAAAAAACTTCATATGATCATTGATCTCCGAATCTCAAGATATTTGAATTAGACTGCCCAACATTTAAAATCACATCTCCCAGTGATTCTCTCAAATACCAAATTGTTCAGAAATTATTCCAAAGATCTCCAGGTGATCATAGATCTCCAAAAATTCCTCAAAATATTTGTTCAAGACTTCAGCTCAGTCAGTCTGAAGATCTGCATTTGCCCAAGATTTCATATTACATATCTTAGATATTCTCTCAAATAGTAGGTTGCTCAGAAATTATTAAAAATATGATCATAGATCTAAAAAAAAAACCACAATATATTTGTTTTAGACTTCAGTTTGATCAGGTATCGTTCTGAAAAATTGGAACGGCTCACCATTTCAAGTCACATCTTCCAGATATTCTCTCATATGCCAAGTTGCTCAGAAATTATTAAAACGGTCTTCAGATGTTCACAGATCTCCAAAAACTCCTCAGGTTATTTTTTTAAATACTTCAGCTTGATCTGCCCATCAATTTAAATCCCAATTTCAGGAAGAGATTGATATGCGATTACATTACTTGATGGGACAAACTGACTTGCTGTTGTTTTCACGCTTTTCATGATCAAAGTCCGTAGTTTGATCACGTATATAATATGAAAGTAGATATTAATTTATTGTGAATAGCGTTATTATCTTAAAATTGACGAAAACCCATATGGAACTGACATGCGATTATAGGCAGTACAAATAGCAAACTGTTCCGTAAATCATTATGGTGTCTATGACAATAAGTAGTAATTCCCAAATAAACTTCAAAGGACCAGTGCAGTATGAGTTCTCATCCAAATGACCTCAAATTTTAGGAGGATTATCAGGACCTGATTTGAATCGATTGAGTTTTTTGGAGCATATTATTTATATGTATATATTGTTGATCTACTACTATTTATTTATATGACTTTTTTTTTCGATTTAGGTTAGCGACTGAAAGTCAATTTTTATTTGTTATATGCGACAGTTTTTATTTATATGTTTGGTAAGTTTTTACAAATCCAAAATAGGTCCCACTTTCCCCGGTGTACGAGAAACGTGAGACCTATTGCGCATTTTTGTAAAGTTAACATTTTTCAAGATTATTTTAAAGTTAATAATTAGCTTTCAATGTACGTAAACTTGTGCAGCGATGTTAGTAGATAATTACTGTGCATTGTAAATTAAAAAATATAGATTATTGTAGATTACACAATCGCAGAAAGCTGAACTATCAAATTGTTAGGCCCCACTTGCCCCGGTGTACCATACTGAAATAAACTATTAGAACTGCGGAAGATTCCTGTAATGTTTTCAAGCATTTTTTTTATCATGCAGCATTGGACAGTCTTCCCCAAAAAAAAAACAAACATGTCAATCAACGACCGCCTGGAAAGGTATGATTTCTTCCCTCATTTAGTACGAATCTCTTCATTCCTCTCCATATTAATCTACTTTAAGTCTACGACACCATGGCGAAGAGAGCGATGGGAAGCTCTCCAGGCGCGGTCATGCTTTTGATTCCAAAACACTCACCCATAGTTGAAGCTATTCTCCATGTCCTTGTTGTACCAGGACTGGCTGTGGCCGCCATGGTTGCGATTGGAATGATGTGAATGGTGAGGCGAGAACGGCATACGAGAGCGATTCCTTGGGGCGGCTCCGCGTGAGTAGGGTCGCCTCGTCGTTCCTGAATGGCCTGGATTCATCGTTGAATGTACCGCTATTTCTCCCGTCTATATCCCTTTCGTTTTGTTTTGCTCACTCTAAAAAGTATCGTTGCTACACACAGCTATAGCACACGGTGTGCAGTTCGTCTTTGTTTTACCTCGCTGCGGCACTGATTTTTATTCAAATAGCAATACCGAATCTTTTCTTCGTTGCAGTTTTTCCCCCCAAGCGAGGAAAATGAATGGCGACGGTTGGAACGATCTGAATATTTTCTCTCTTTGTATTGTTTATTTTCCAAGCTCCTTTGATTTTTCTTTCTGTGTTTATTTTACACCGGGCTGGCACAAGGGCTTATGTTCGTCGAAGATGTTTCTTTCTTCGCAATCAACGGTACCGTCAGCTTTTATTGCATATTGAAAATGGTCTGTTCTGTTTTCACGTAACACTTTGCCTGATTGAAAAGGCCTTAAGAATAGATCACACACATTTGCGCGACTCGGTTCACAACACGGTTTGATTATTGCGCTTTAGCGGCATACAGTTGTTTAATTCATTCATGAGGTAAACCTATATTTCTCGAGGCCTGCATTACCTACATTCATACGGATACTTCACTACACAACGATAACTGTAGAGCTCGGCGGCGTCACAGCAGAGTAGTGTTCATGGACGCTACAAATTTGTACATTCACAATAGAAGAAAACTCGAAGCAAACACGTGATAGATTGAATAACGACGCAAAAGGGAAAATGTGGGAAACCACGAGAGACGAGGAAAATGTGTGCGGCAACGTGTTCCGTTTTCTTTTATGCTATTCTATGCTGCGCCCGTCCGTACAGGGCTGGACGCATGTAACGATGGTGTTTGCAAGCGACACAACGTTCAACGCTGAAAACTTGGCGTGTTTCTACTGCAGTAATTTAACGCTCCAGCTTTGTTTGTTTGCTTCCGGAACAAGGGGAGGGCAAGTCGAAAACGATGATGCCGCTGCTTGGTACTACTCTGTCCAGCGCCGTATCGGTCCAAACCAAACTAGTTGGGAACTTCGTTTCTGCTTCACGCTGCTACTGCTGCACTGTCTGCTTCACGAATCGATACGCATTTACACACTGTGGGCTGATTCGGGGCGAAGATGGCGCTGGCCAAAAAGTCTACAGAAGAAAACCGGAGAAGAAGATGGAGAGAAACGATGGGAAAATGTTAATTTCACCGCCTGAACTTTCGATTTCAATGTGCAATGTGTCTGCCGTATGAGTGCGGTAAGCTTTTCTGTAATTATTATATAAGAAAACGCATAGAGTTAACCTTAAAACCGACGCACAAAGTAGACACCGAAGATAGATTTGCGTTTTCTTTCTTCGTCTGCATGTTTCTCCTATCGACCGTACGCAAACATCGTTCGTTATATTACATTGAACTGTTTATCAACAAGAGCGTAAATAAAAACATTCGGAAAATATAAGCCTCTGCGGAGTAACAAACAGCTGGCTCAAACGGGGAAAAAGAGAAGAAATATGCTTATTCACTCCAGCTATGTCCGCTCGCGTTCTGCCCAGCAGAGATACAGTGCTACGAAATGTGAGGTCTTATGCTGCTGCTACCGGGACACCACAAGGCAGTGGCCTTGCTAACGCGCATGGCGGTGGTCCCGTGGTTGTGCTCATGCGTCATGCTTCAACCCACAAACACTGCCATCCGGTACGGTACACTTTAGAGAAATCTTCATATAGAACGCCAGCAGCAAACGATGACAAGGATTTGTTTGGAAACAATAACACATCGTTATGCCTTTTGTGCGAAGATGAATACACTTGAGCATAAGGGGTTATAGCGTTGCAGTATGCTCATGTGGCAACATGGGCTTCAACAGTGTTCTGTTCTTTCAAGAGAAAAACGTAGGCATATATTTCATGTTTTGAATAAATTAATGGTGGGTCGGCTATTTCTGGCGAGCATGGTTACACTTGACTCTTTGGTTGTATAGAAAAGACTTCCTGCAAAGTAAGTCGCACAAGTTTGCTGTAGCGTCAACATGTTTTTTTAGATAATCCATTTTGCTCCACCCCTTGGGATCGATTCCAAATCACTTCCTCACATAACGTTAGCTCATCTGCATGCAAATCATTTAAATATTGGTTGATTTTTTTTTAGTTTTTTCAGCTATCAACAGTCTTATTCACGTTTTAAGCAGCTGCTCTTGTGATCCATTATCTAGTCTCATGACTGAAACCTAATTCGAAATATGATTATATTGGGCATTAATCATAACTGGCACAAAAAAAAAGAACTGTAGGACTACGATATTATTTTTCTTCCTCCATTCAATAATAATTACCAAACTATTAATGTATTAAAGTAATTCATCAAACATTCAATGCAATATTCAACGTTGTTAAATAATTAGACATTCAATTGAGAATTAAATATTTAAAATTCAAAGTTTAGTTGCTATATCATTCAATATAAGGATCTGAAACCATATAACATTTTGATGTTGATCAATTAAATCTCTTTTGATGTTGTCTTTTATCTGTATTCAAATAAAAATCTATCAAATAGTGAACGCTATAATTCAATTATTTAAAAATTAATTTGAATGTTTACGATCGTCCATTAATTATGTCACACTTCTAGGGGAAGGGGGGGGGGGTGGTTTGGGAGTATTGTTAACTGTGACGAGTTATACAATAAAAAATAAGGTCCATACAAAAAATGTGACAAAGGAGGGAGGAGGTTCAGAATGGGCCAAATTTGCGTGACATATTTAATGGACCTTCTCTTTCATGGTGTTACATTTTAAACTCACAAACAAACTGATCTATCCACGTTTACACAAACAGGGTGAATTCCGGGTTTTTTGCCGGTTGCCTTACTTAGTTTTCCCGGTTTTTTAGAAACAAATATGGTAAAAAACCCCAAGTAGCATCACAAGTTCCATCGAGGTTTTAAAACATTCTTCAAGCCTAAATCATGATCTACAAGAGCATGATAAAACTTTTAGAAAATCTTTAAATTGGACCATAAGTAATGCAGTCTGACTTAACAGCAGTTGTAGGAAAATTCGTTGTTTTTAAAGAATTCAGAAGAGAAATGCAAAGAAATTGTAAAGAGAACCATTAACAAATTTTTAGAAGAATTTAACGGAATTTAAAGGGTATTTCGGAAGGATGATTTGAAAATGTTAAGCTGAATTTCAAGGGAATTCCCTGAAAAAATCCAGAGAATTCCTAGTTCTATTAAGACTTCAAAGACAATTCCGAGATGAACTGCAAGGAAATTCTTAGGAATATTCAATGGAGACCGGAAATCCATGCCTGAAGCCATATTGAAATCTCTTGAATGCTGGTTAAAATACACACATATTTTGAGATTGCAACCAAATTCCCTGTAATTTTTCAGTTTTTTCCCGGATGGCTTCGATTCCCGGTTAATTTCCGGTTCTCCGGTATTTCCAGTTGAGTAGCCAAGGTATAAAGCTTTATTTATATTTGCAAAAATTATGGTACCGTAAGTGGTAGAGACATTGGTCCAAAAAAACAAAATTTGTCATTCCCTACCTTACAACATTCAGATTTTACCAAGGAATAATATATTAGGCATGTGAATATATTCAACAATGATTTATTTACAACTGTCATGAAAATATTTGATTAAAATTGATATCTCAATGATAGAAAATAGACCAATGTAAAACCCTATGGCGGGTGACATTGTGCCAAAACATGCATTTGGTTAAAATATGTAAATATAACGTAGCTATTAGGAGTAAACTTGGGTATGATCACCCTGTAACGTGGGTAGATCACCTTTTCGAGGTACGTTACGGGATGTAAGATCTACCACCGATTCTAGCCTTGACTACTTCAAACTAGGGAAACAGGATTTTTCAGTAATCAAAGGAACACATCTTAGTTCTTGTTACTTGTTATGCCTTTTTGATAGTGATAAGACTCGGCTTTGTCCACAGAGGATGATCTCAAAACAAGGAAAAAATGAGTTAGTTAGTCTTCATCTATGTGATTCCTAATCTTCTATTCGTTGTTCCATAATTTGAAGTGGTTAAGACTAGGGTTCTGATGCATGGTCAATATCGGTCATTGCTATTTTTGTTGCTAAGGAATCCAATTTTGACTGACAAAGGGGCGCGCCCTTTAGAGGGTGTTCCAACACTCCGAAGGGTATAAATAGCGGAACTTTCAATTAGAATCGATTCCTCAAACTGTATCAAAACCGAATACTTCATCATTTCTTAATAGTGATGGAGTAATACGACATGCACTAAACTAAGGACACGGGATATGACATTGCCAAAAGATCCCTCAAAAACCGTGCTGCTGTTTCGACAGAAATTTTCATTGCGCGTTTCTGTTCAATAGGTATTGTTCATTTTTTTTTTTTTTAACTAGTTCGTTTATTTGGGAGGCTCAATCGCGTTAGCTTTACGGAGCCGATAGTTCATTGTTCTTTGTTTGTAACAAAATTCACTTAATTCTATGTCTAGTAGGAGTTGGGCCGAATACTCGCGGCTTACTCGAGGTTAGAGAGGTACATTGTCGAAGGATAGGATCAGGGGAGGAGTTTGGGGGTAAGGTTTCGTTGTCTCATCAGAGCGTTGTCGCCAGTATGAATGGTAGTGCGGTTCTAGTTTCGTCTGGAGTTCGACCGGCTATGGTGACCAGTGGGCATATTGTTCATTTGAACAAGTTTACTGAAAGCAGCAACCTTCTATGTTGTCGAGATGTCGAATTTAGCAATCCATTTGAATTATGTGTATTTTTAACTGAGATGCCCACCATACGATAGAGCTTGTCATTCAGAACAGCTTTACTCAAGATAGTAAATTTATATCTAGTCGTGCTGTCAATTTAAAGCAAGCAATAAGATGTCGAATTGCACACTTATGTCACCTGGAAGGCGAATTCAAAACTGAACTGCTCACCATCCAATAGGCCTTATATCTGAACAACGCCACGACCAATGAGAATAACTCAGTAACTGAGTCAAATTCGAACATTGCAAAAAGTGGATTACTCAATGAATGAGCAAAATTGTCCTCGCTTTTCCTGGAAAAACTGCTCTAATATGAGGAAAATCGACAAAAATGTTACTCAGTCTAGGAGTTACTGATAAACTGAGTGAAATATCTTTCGATTTTCCCCATATTCAAGAAGTCTTTCCTGAAAAGTCGAGGGAAATTTGACTCATTCACAGAGTAATAGATATAAATAAATAAAAATAGAAATAAAACAATTTAGAATTCAAACATTGAACAAATCCAAATCCCGGAGGAAACAACAGGAATTGAACTTATTTATTAAGATCACTAATTAAAGCGAATTTTCAGGATGTCCAGCTTAACAAAATATTTTATAATAATTTTTAAAATCCATATCATGGAAACTGTTTTAATTCCATTTCGGAAGACTGGAAACGGACCTAATTTTTTATCCAGACTTCATCAAATTGTTGAGCTTACAGGTATTTACGCAATTTATAATTCTATTAAAATTCTCGTGATGTACAATATTTCAAAATTTAAGTCTTATATACGTTTAGAGATAAATTAAAATACAGATAAAACGCTTGCTACGACTACCACGACAAACTCTCTCTGCAACACAGCTCGATCGGAGTGGTAGAAGGATAATGATATATTGCTTGCCTGTTTTGTTGCAATATACATAGTTGAGGACATAGCTTGATCGGAATCGGGAAAAGACATAACTTTAACACATGTGTATCATCCTCGGCTTTACTTCGTGAAGCAGCTTGCCAACAATTTGGTCGTTTCCTTTTACCAGCCCGAACGAGCTGTGTTGAAGGAGCTGTTTTTCATGAAATATATCATTATTGCTTTCCATTTCTGACAAAGCGTTATCTTTCGGCTCGTTGATCGCTTGTCATTTTATCATCTGGAGATATATTTGATTCCTTACTTGTAACACATCTTCGAGGAAGTATTTCGGGAAGAAGCCATGATGCAGTAGCTGGATTTCAGCATAATATTTTTGAAGG